TGGAGCACTTTTGTCGCCGGTAGTAATCCGCTCGCTCTAAATGCCCCAAACCGTGGTATACTGTTTCAAAACAAGGCTGGATTATCACCACTTTTGAGAGTGAAAAAATGTCGGTAATTCCCAGCAGCCTGATCTTTTGTTCCAAGTACGGTCTTTTGTTATAAGGCCCTGTTCCCTTTGTCCAAGTTCGGGGACCCCGGCCACGCATATAAAGCATACGTGTCTGGATCCAGAATCCCCAGCAGGATGTAGTTAAAGCCTTCCACTTATGCCAATCACTAAAACCAAAGGAAAACCGCATTCTGCCAATGACGTTCGAGGTCAAGACGTGAATATATCTTTATTTCACACCAACAATGCCCTTACTTTCAGTACACAGGAGCAGCAATGGTGCCTGATGATTGCATATGGCTTTGTAAACAATGATTCGTATGTTTGAACAAGTGGAAAAAACAATAACGACAAACAGAATCTTTATATTTACAAGAACTTCATACATAAAGCCAAACACTTTGGGGAGAGAGGAGGTATACTGAAGATTTTAAATACTAGATGGGGAATTCTGCCTAGTAATATTGGAAACCAGTGCTGCATTAAGGTGTCCATCTGAGCTTATCTTTTTCCTCAGTGCTGAGTCACAACAAATACTGTCGAAGCTTGGCCAGAGACGAAGGGTCATCCTGACCTAGGCCAGTGCTACAAAGCCCCAGCCGGCAGTTGATTTACAATCACTGCACTGTGCTGATAACTGCAGTGACATTGATGAACTGAAGTTTCAACCCGTCCCCTCTGGCTGATGCCAGCCCAGAGAACAAGCGCCTGTCCACCCAGCTCCTCTCCCTTCAACTTCCCTTTGCGCTCAATTACTCCAAATGATCCAGTCACAGTAACATTGAGCGTGGGAATCACTAAATGGAAAGGAAAGTTCATAATAGAGCCCGAGCGAGACCAACAGAGGCACAATTTTTTCTTCGTTAACGGAGGCTCCTTTGGCGGGAACTGTACTTTGCCAGTTCACAAAGACTATGAAAAGCATGCCTCACAGTCACATCGCTACCAAAAAAACGAACCCTCCATACCAACATGGCTCTTTTCAACTGATGAGGGGGCGCTTTTGCTCAAGGCCGATAGCCTATAATGTCTGCACATAGATGGCTTTAAGGAAAGCTCATAGAGACTATGAACAGAACACTTCACAAAACACAAAACTTCTTTGGCTGCAAACTGCAAATCTCTTTCAGTAAACATGATCCTATCTTATTAGCAACTGTTCAGATTTCTCCTTTTCAGGGGGTTGGGAGATGACAACGTTCAGGTGAGTCGAGGAAAACTAGGTCAGACGGGAAACTGCAAATATGCTGATCTGGCAAAATACAAGTTACAGAGCCAAGCTAAACTGTCCGCGTTTGTATGTTGGGGGGACCTTGCCTTTATCACTGTGTTTTGACGGGAAGGCAATCAAATCTTCTGTCGTCAGCCTGTCATACTGATTTTTCCCAACTCTTCAAAAAAAAAAATGAGTTCAGCTATTTGCGGCATCCAGGATGAATGGTTTTTGTCGGGGGGGGGAGGGGGAAGGGGGAGAGAAGAGTATAAGAGGAAGAAAAGAGGAAGCGTACAATTACATGTATTTGAATTCAATTACACGTTATCTCAATAAATTCATTATTTACTAAAAAAAAAAGGATTTTCAATGCCGTGGTGATAACAGCGTTGGATTGATAAAAAAAAAATTGACGGGTGCTGACAGAATTTTTTTCTATTACCGGACCCACAGCTGAGCATGATTCAATCCAGCCTGCTATCGGGGCATTTATACAGGTCAAAGGGCAAGGACGTCCCCGCAGGAGGTAGGTGGATGAAGTCCTTGACCAAGCCAGCCTTCAATTTTCCAAACACAAGCTCTTTGGCAACGGTGCACACTGTACTTGCAAAATTAAAAAACTTGCAAAAGTAAGGCAAAACTAAAGGCCACTAGGATTTGACACGTGCATTATTGGACAAGTTCGATCAAGGACCACGAGTTAACTAGTGGTTGATTCGTGACGTACTTAACACATGTGCAGTGAAGTTGAAGTGCAAACGACCCTAGTCAACCGTTGTCAGCTTGCTGGGAGGAAAAGTGACCGCAGGAAGGGCAAAATAACAAAAATAGAGGTAAAAATGGTAGTTTATTAGTGACATACTGTTTTCCTGGCATTTTTCTTATAACTGGTCATTTCGGCACTGTGCTTTTCAAATTGGTCTATGGCAACCAACGATGCGACCAACCTGGATAGCCTGGCACAAATAATTGACTAGACTAGTCTAACCATCGTCGACTAAGTGTGCCTTCCATCAAAGTTAGTCTAACTATGGTTAACTATGGTCCTTGATCTAAACTGCCCATTGATTCAGATGACAGGGTGGTGTTCCTATTGAACGGCAGGTGGCCACATTTACCTTAAGATTGTACTGCTCAAACGCTGCTCTGTATTCAGCCTCCTTAGCGGCAGACTCTAAGCTCTGCAAGAAACAACAACAAATAGTTCTGGATTAAGTTAGAATCCAATCTTTAACTACCCCTTAGGGTACCCTTAACCTGGAGAGCTGAAGGAAAACAAATCACTAACCCACCGCTGACTTTCCAAGATTAGTCGGTGTTCCCAAACAGGTTTGGTGTACGCTTCAGAACTGCCCTGAGGAATCCTAAATGCTATACCCTGTGGATTCCTTTGCACTTTGGAGTAGCACCAAATCCAAACCAGCAGCACCAGGGTCATATTTCATGGATCTGCCCAAGAGCATTGCAAAGCAAATTTCTACAGTGAACCTACTTGCAAAGCACTTTGGACTGGTACTGCCCAACAAAGCTTTGATACTTAATTCAGCAAAGCTTACGCAGCTGTTGTTTCAGTTAGTCTTTGAAGTGCTACCTTTATTTCCATTACGTGTTGTTTTAGACTAACACAGCCACCCACGGTGTAGTTCGGCAAATAAGTATATCCCACAGCCTGAAATGCTCCGGGAGTTGTAATCAAGAGTACCATTTTTGCTGCAGGAGTCAAGTTTACATGGTTATTCCCACAGCAAACAGCAAGCCTGACTACCAGTTTGTGACGTTGCAGCAAACGGTCATGCTGCAATCGAGCAAATCTTAAACACCGTTATATTCTTTGGTGAATGGTTTTGATAATCAAATCTCCATCCTTGTTAGCTTCCCTGCCCACTTTGAGCTGGCTTGTACCGTAAGTTGCCGAGATGTTTTTGTACTGAAAATCCCGGGAACCAACTTCGGTGCTGCATTCGGTACGTCTGAGGGCAAGACGCTTTGCGCAACATGGGAACACATCACCCAGGTCAGCCAGTAACTTCCACCATCAAACTCAATCTATCAATATTCCCCAACAAGAAAAAAAAAAAAGAGGCAGCAACAACAGACAGACCCGAGAGAGATTGAGTGGGGAGGCTGGCACTGCACCTCCCGGAACCTGCCGAGATGACAATCTCGTTAAAGAAGGGGGGGTGGGTGGGAGAACTGCTTCCAATGAACTGTGACGGTGGGTGGCTATGTGCCAGCTATCACTCGTCAAGCACACCTAGGGTGCAATCAATCTAGCCCCTGGTTTCCCCCCCTTCTCTTTCCTTTTTGCACGCCACATTAAGACGGGGGGGGGGGAGAAAGGGCAAAAAACGTCAAGGTGCTAACCTCAAACAAACCGAGTTTGACTTTGTAGGTGAACCAGACGCTTGTCTGGTTTTCCTGATCGGAGCAGAGCAACGCTGTCGGCTAAACTGCCCCCCTCTCCCTCCCTTTGAGCTTTGCCCGCTTTCAGCTTTGGGTCCGTGTGGTGCCTTTTAACAGTTTTACAGGATTAATTCAATGAATAAAAGCCACCAATTCGGATAAATTTTCTCGTCAGATTTGTCACAGTAGGCCAACTCAAAATGGCACCTATGTGGCATCTGACCGCAAACCAGTCTCAGACAGCTTCTAATCACAGGCCTTCCCGATGCACACAAACATAATCCAATCACATGATTTCTGCTCCAAGTGACATCAGGAGACACCCTGGGCAAGTGGACAGACCTCCGGTAAGCACCGGTTAGCAGACCAACCCCCTAGCGTATCTGTCCCACTGGTCAATTCAACAACCGCTCGTTGAGTCACCTGCATGTACAGGGCAAGCTGGGTGCGCCAGTCCACACAGGTACTGCAGTGGGTTACAGCTACTAGGCTTTCTATGGCCACTACAACCTAGGTTGGTGATACCAGTTCACTAACAGATTACTGTATACCAGGCAAGATATGGGACAGAGGGGTACCCCCCTTACATGTCCAATCCCTATACACACTCTAGACTATTGTTACCTAACACATCCCCCCAAGAAGTCTGTAAAGAATTCCTGAGATTCCGATCAAACGATGACCAACACAAAGGGGGGAGGTTCTCTTCGTCCCATATCTTGCTTCAAATGGATTACTGGGAGCTACATGTAGATAGCGGCAGGCTTCGTAAGTTATGTGGTGCGTGCGGTCGTGACCCCGCAAATTGGCAGTCTCGCTGTCGAGGTTCGTGCCATAAATTGGAGTGGCAAGCCTTCGTGAAAGAGCGGTTACTCCCAATCCAGCGAGAGTTAGCAAAATGGATGCTTTTGTGAGATACAAACACTCTCATGCATCATGAATACAGTAAGAACAGAGACCTATCCAAAGCAATTACGGAAGGGGGTAAAAATTCTGCCAGACAGGTGAGACGTTGGAAATAACCAGTCCAGCCACCAGGAAGGTTATGATACCAGCAGCGTTTCACATTTGACAATCGGGGAGTGCGTATGTTCCTGAGCACGGTACTTTACAACTATATTTCGTTAACAAACGGTGCACGATGTGAGCCTAGGTAGACTTGATTCAAATTTAAACTGTCCCAACAAGGCACAGTACTTAAAATTGTTGCACAGACCAACAAACCTGTAACGGATCAGTGTTAATTAATCGGCATATTATCAGGGTAACAATAGGGAATGAACTCTTTTGATACCCAAGTACAAATTAATGCCATGTTATTAGTTTCATGAGAAGGAGAATATGAGTAAGCTACACTTGTGCTGCTTTTTACAGCTGCATTGCTGTCGACACCTGGGGACACACATGAACGTTGTTAAAATGCTAAGGCCAAATCTGTACTGTTCCGGTGGCACGGTGCCACCTGATTATTTAAAGTACACGTAGAACAACCTGCATCCACAGCACGCAGCCACCGGTATGACAGCTGTGAACGGTTGAGTCACAGTCACTACCCACAGAAAAGCCAGTCTTAACTGTGCACAGACGGTGGGTGGTGAAAGGTCAGAGTATGGGATGGGGGAGGTCAAGATTAAGGGGTTATTTGAAGGGGCAGAAGTGGCTAGAGATGTACAGGCACTTCACATCATGATATTTGGGCTCAAAACAGATTTGAAGGCGGGACAAAGATGTGGTTGAAACAAACACTCTAGTCATTTCAGAGACACTTGAAAGGGATATTTCACGAGCCTTGCAGAGGCAGTGTGAATTAAGATATCACTGACACATCCCCAAAGATGATCTAATCATGTGTATCACATTACAGACACTTCAGGTGTCATGTCAAATCAATTAGGGCCAATTTGCTCCGACAGCTTAGGCTGCCGGGACCACCTCCCCCCCAGCATCTTAGATATCTCCCAACGGGACTGTGAATAATCTCGCGAAAGACAACAGTTTTGACTTTACCCTCGTTGTTCCAGACAGTCTGTCGCAATTTACGACATGCAAGGGGAGATCGCACCTCGGTATACGGGGGAGGTGTTAATTGAGTTTAAAAAGGTGCAGCGAATTTGCATCAAGGTCAATGTTAATCGGCCTCATCTACGGGTGATGCGTGCCGCCGTCTCAGGGAATAAGTGTGGAGAAGTCCTACAGGGGCACACCAAGGGGTGCACTGCTGTTTCCCAGGAAATTGACCAAATCAAAGCTGGCTTCCGCCCCAAAGGGGAGGTGCAAAATAGAAAATTATATCAAGCATGTGTGGAGCAATCTCTTAATTAGATTTGAACACTTGTAAGCATCGTGTCCAAGGGGACATGAAAAGGGCCGATAGACCAGCAAGGCAATCTGCCCTTGAGGAGAGAGGGGTGAGACGGAGGGGTAACTTTAGCACAGGAATGCTTGGTCACGCAGGAAATTGGCTAATGTGGTAACTATTGTTAAAAGATTAGGGCTTTATGCGGCAACTTCGACTTGTCCTTGGATTCTTCCACTGGGAGAGGAAATCAGAACACTGCAGCAAGACACTCTGGGAAGGGGAGGGGAAAACAAGGCTAAGTCCAAGTATATGAATGACTTGGATATTTCTGCTCTGTATATATGAAGTAGATTCTACACTTTACAGGCTGAGCACGTCACAAAAAAGTGCAGATTTTATTATTGTTGACCAATGAGCAAATGGTGCCCACCTCAGTGAGCAGGGTGCTAAACCAAGGCTGGTGTCAACATAGAGTTCATCATAAATGTACCTAGGCATGCCAAAAGCCTGGTACCAACACAGCAGCTGGTTCCCAAATCTGCATTCAGCACTCAGTGCTTTCCAAAAGACCATGGGAAAGGTTTACGTGGGTGGGACTTGGGTGGAACCCGGGCTGGAACCTGCAACCTTATGCCCGCTAATGCAGATGCTTTAGCAAGTCAACTCTTCAGCTTGTTCGGACCGGCTAGCCGACTTAATAAGTGATCTCATCATAAACTCGGGGATCTAGGGCACCAGTGCAAGCCGACTGTAAAGTGTTGTTGTGAGATGAGTTTTGGATGTGACCTGTGGTTCCGTATCTGACTGAAAAAGCTTTGCACAGAGCAACTGGCTGTGGCTCTAATACACAGGTCTATAGGCTATGGCAAAAGCTGCTAGTCACTGACCTACATAGGTGAACATGTTATCTTGAGCCGCAGACATAACTTTAGGACACGGCCAACGACGCCATCCTACCCACCTCAGCTTTGCCACTGCCGTTGCTGCTGGGACCATTACTGCTGGTCAGCGCAGCAGCTGCAGCACCAGCTCGCAGCTCCTCCATCTCCCGCTGCACCTGCTCCAGGGCGGCCTGCTTGCCGTACAGGTTCTCCTCCAGCTGGTGGATACGGGAACGGGCCTCTCGTAGCTCGATGCGGGCCACCTCAGCATCTAGCTGACCGCCGTCTGAATCCTGAACAGATGCAAGAGGGACAAAATACAGAGAACAATGGATGGTTAGAATCCACAGATTTTCGCAAGGAGGGGAACTTTCCAAACTTCACAAAAAGCAGACAGGTTTTGAGGAATGCTGAATCAGCCTTACAGTATCGACCACTGATCCTTCAAAAATCAATCAAGGGGACTTTGAATGATTGCGGAATATGAAACAAATAATTCATTTACATGCATGGGACTTGACTGCTCTTAAAGTTCTCGTACAAAGACTGAGTCACTGGGCTCTTGCAAAGTGGTGCTTTTTTCGAGGACTCATGGATGTGCTTAGTAAAAGAAGCTTAGAGGAGAAAAATAAGTCCTCAGGTCTAAAGCTGCTATAAATTGGAGGGAGGGGAGATAACACCTTCCCTTCCTCCGAGTTCTCATTGACCTGTTTGTTCCAATTACGGAGTTGCTGCGGTACTGTGCATTTTCTGGATGGCGAGGCATGAAACCTCTGACTCATCCTCTGTTATTAGCTGAGGGTCTCCAACATAACACCTCCGGAACTTTTCACGGGACAGTCCTACAAAGTGAGCTCACTTTGACCGCAATGCAGCTGTTGGAGGCATCAAGTGAGGCAGGGAACCAGTGAATGATGCACGGCATTGTCTCACTCATTACAAAAGAGATTTTAAAGGGGACTCCTCCAGGGGCAGGTTGAACCAAATCAAACCCACTCGCTTCCCCACCCACATGGGGGTGCACTTCAACTCGGGGCAGATAGGAAAGTCTGCAATGTGACTTGGAAATCTGAACAGGGAACAAGAGACATTGCCATATCTGTTGAATTTTCTTTTCTTTCTTTTTTCCTACTTTCCACATAGCCAGTTCCAAAAGAATCATATTTAACTTGTGCATTTCAATTCCATATACAAACTTTGAGCAGATTCTGTGCAGACAATAGTCCTTTTAGAAAAACAACTTCAATTCTAAACTAATTCCCACAGGCCTTTTTTCATCTCATGTGGCATTTCTGGCCGGCAAACGGATAATTTGGAACTTGCCGATCAGTGTGTCTTGCTCACGTTTTATAGGCGGACAGCAGAAATCGGCTCTAATTCAATGACATATCCGGGTCCCTCCACGCAGGAAGTGTAAACCAAGTACAGTCCTAATCTAAACCTCCTCTTTAAATCTACAACTTGAATTTCTCCCCTTGTGGATTTCTGAGGTGGAACGTTGCACTGCTTTTAGTCAGTCTTTGGCTGCAATCAATCGATCAATCGATCGCTTGGTTTCCTTTACATTTTTCTATTTCCAACCTAAAATCAAACTTACCTGAGGTAATGAAGTGAACCATTCAAGGCTACTACTCATTCTGTGTTAAAGTTTGACATGATGATCTCAAAGTGTACTGACCACACATGAGAACATCTTTGAAATCTGAAGCAGCTGCTTTGCTGGCAATGAATTTTCAAGGCTGAGTTCTACAAGCACCATACATGAACCTGTCGTAATTGGTTAATCCATACTGCATGCCCCTGGCATGGTAACACATCTCGACGGACCCCATACAATACGTGACTGCCAAACCATCATTCGTCCTGCTGGAGCGACCAACAATTCAGCAGTGATCTCAACTTTTTTTTTCTTTTTCTTTCTCAAAGAGACAGGAATTCAAAACTGGGTCTGACAGCTGGGGCACATGTTCCCCCTCAATTCCAGACAGCCATCACCTGACCAGGTGCTTTTCATTCCCCGGGTACATGCTGCGATTTATTTTTGGTGGGGCTAACATGGCCCGTTGGGGGACCCCTCCGTGATGTTTTTTTACCAAGTCATGCTGCCGATATATGCTGACAGCTCCACCAAAATAGAAGCATGCACTCTCGTCTACGACCAGCAACGCTAGCATATATGCACAAGAGCTCCGGCAATGCTCCGGCAATGGGGGGGGTCTTCGTTTAATCCACATCCACACAAAAAAGCACCGGCTGTTTGTCTTGCTGTGAACAACGTACAGTAAACCTGCTGGACCTCATTTTTTCCCAAGGGTGCGGGATCACAGGATGTGCTCTTGCATCTACAGTGTACTAAAAAAATGAGAGGTGCTTTGCCAATACATTCTATCACTCCCATCCAAGAAGTCAGGAGTACAACATGTACATGTGCATACCCAAAGCATGTCCCATTCCTGTGTGCTAGCTCTGTGGACGAGTGTAGGGCATGAGGCAGAATCACATACACATGTACAGCCTAGGCATTGTAAAGAAGCACATGTACACGGACATGTGTAAACCGGTCTCGAGATGGAGAAAGTGAAGCATCTTGCCTGTTTGGAAAGGCAAAGGAACAAGGCAAAGGGCCGTGGTATTCATGCTCATTTACATGTATGGTTCCACACATCTCTGGATCTATCATTCAGCTTGTACTCACACTGTTCAGTGCACACATTCATCCAAATGTTCTCGACTATGAACTAAGGGCTCTTGCACTCGTAGACCTACAGTGTCCTTGTGCCACAGATTGTTTTCTGTGCTCACGCCATATCTGTGGATGTCCCACTAAATGTTCCCCAGTACGGGTTATAGCACGGTCATAGCTGCACCTAACTGAACTGGACTCCACAAAAGGAGGCAGAAAATCATGGCTCTACATGACTTGTGTCATTACTTGCATTATGCATGCCCATCCACCCCGAGTTGAAGTGCACCCTCGGCGGTAAATCAAAGACAGGCTGGTGAGACGTTTTCCAACCGGGCTCTTGCGCGCGTTCGGTGTGCGTGCGAAGACCACACATTTAAGCGTAAATTCGTTGCACGTTCTCAAGAGTGCCCTGCTCCAAATGCCCATTAACTTACACGCCTCCACATTCCTACCAAAGGACTGTCATTGTCATTTGAACACATCAACTGCCGACTATGAGTCCACTGGTAGTAACAGGTGTACTGGATTATGTCGCTACAAGTCTACTCATAGGAAATGAAAGGCTACTGTAACGTAATTTGAATATACTGGCATTATCAAACAGACATGTGAAAGGTATAGTACGTGTTAAACGAGGGCGCATACACACAACGCTTGGGAAATGTGTTAAAACATGCCCTCTTTCGTTCCTGCTCGGAGCGGACAGAGATATTCTACACGTGCTATAACCATTGAAGATTCAGAACAGATGGCGGGAGAGTTTCTCTCCGTGAAGAGAATGCCTGGATGGTGCATTCTAATGGTAATCTAATTATTCTTACTGGCACCAGAGAGCAAATTTAATTTGTTTTGATGTAGCAAGTGGAAACAGGTACATGGACATGTACATGTACTTCATCCTCAGTGATAATGCTCATGAGAATTCTGCCCAGAACGCAAGTGATACATTCCCTCCAAAATGGGCCATCACCCCCCTCTTCTCCCTTCCCCTCCCCCTCCCCCTTTGTGGTAGGATGTGGTTAACGAAGACATATACAAACTTTGCATGTTGAAGATCGTGGCTTGTGAGGGTTTGACCAACAGCATCAGTCTCTGGTCCACTTGACTGTCAACAGTAATTCCAGTCACAGGGGATTGGAAAAAAAAATTGAAGCACACTTGCGGCTTTTTAACAACCACAGTCACTGCTTGCTTGTAACAGATAAGCTTTAAGCCTAGTGACACATACAAGCTAGATTGGTTTGTCTGGTTCTTGTACTTAACATGTAGGTTAATGACTGTTGAACTGACATCAAGGTGGATGTATTTTTTCCACCTGCAGACTTGTTATGCAACCAGGTACCGGGCGCCTGGTTCATTTGATTAGCATGTGACCCAAAGCATTGCTCATGGTCACCATGGTGATAGTTATCAACAAAAGTCAGGGAACACTTGTGGATAGTAGAGAAAACGTGCAAAAAGATGCTTGGGATGTTTTGCTTATTTGAAATCATGAGCCAACGTGTCACAGGTCAAACCAGGTCTACTGTTCCAACGATTCCGTTCATATAAATCCACTCTGCAGTTTGCACGTAGACGTTTATAAAACTTTCCAAGTTTCATTCCTTCTCCAAATTCTTATTAAGATCTGTTTATTCATTAGAAAATTTCCTGCATTTTATTTTGTCAGAGCTGTCCAAAAAAGTTAAGTGGGATTTATAAATGTTAAGGCGCCAAACATACACAGGTGGAAAATTAGTTACTGAAAAAGTTCAAAGCAATTCATCAATTCAAAGTCCATCTGACTGGCCCTTTCATTTCTCTGCGATGGCTATCAGTGGCAATTAAAGAGCGGAGACCGAGGAGAAGGGGCACGGTGGTCCTTTGGGGGTGTAGAGGAAGGGCCAATTTGCACTCGGGAGGGCGGGGGAAGGGACAGTCGATGCCAGAGAGGATAGAGAAAGTGGTGTGGGTTTTGGGAATAGCATCGCATCAAGTGGTTCGGGTTTCGGGGTGTCCGGTTCCACCAAGATTATCCCTGTCAGAGAGCAATAATTAGGATTGCGCTGATGACTGCTGGCCCCGATCATTAACTGGACTTTGAGCATCGACCTGGTTGCATGTCCAGTCAACCAACTGACGCATCCTTGATAAAATGGTGTATTCTATCTGTCATTCAGGGACGTAACAACCCTAGGTACCAGTAGCTTCACATCCACCAAGACACTATTTAAATGGAATGTCTGTTTAATGACACTATGCCTACCTGTACATCATGGCACACTCAAACATGTATCAGGAATATCAACCCTAACAGTCCTCAATCCTTCACCTGTTGGAGGACTGAGGACTCTTAGGGTTAATGAAACAGGAGTAAGATTGAGACCTCAGGACAGACTTCAACCTCAAAGGCATTTATAAATTTTTCTTACTGTGCAGTGGTCTGCACTCAAATCTGTCTACCGAAGTGCAAAGCCTACTGACTCCAATAGGATCAATAGGTATTTCAAACAGATCTTTTTCCTCCTTTGTCAGAAACAGGTAGGCGCTGTAGGTAATACATGAACATGTCCAACCAAGAAAACCCAAGTAGAAAACTTCCCAAAAGCTGGAACACATTTAAGGCTTGTTCCGACTCCTAGGAGTAGTCTGAAAATTGGGACAAGTCAAACTTTGGGAAGGGAGTAGAACTCCATTTTTGAGAAGCAGATTTTTGAAAATTCATTGAACTGTGATGGGATATACATTTTCCCCCAAGGTTACACTTAACCCTAACTGCCCTAGCACTGTTAGTGGTATCCCTCCCTAATCACACAACCTCCAACACCTTGAAATCAAACTCCAACCTTACAGTACCCAATCACACAGACTCCAACAGTACTCTTGCTGCAACAGTACCCAATCACACAAACTCCAACAGGTCTTTACCTGTGTGGTTTTGTTTGATAGGGTACGGCAGGCCCACTGCACAGTACAAAGAGCAGCACCTATTCAAACAAACCCATACACCATCACGCTGCATAATCCATCCCCAACTGCCAGGATCACTGTGGTGAGCTAATGGCCTCTGTCCTTGTTAAGGTAATTATTACATATTACATACCAATTCAATGGGAAGCTATCTATCATTATGGTACGTTATCTTCAAAAATACACGACATGTACTTGGGTAATTGCAGATGATCGCCCCTCATTTAAAATTCCTGATGGAAAAAAGTGAGAGGACAACAGTACCCATTCAGTCAAAATTCAACAGGTTAAGTGCACGCCTACAGTATCTATTTACTCAAAATCTGAGACCATACAGCAAGTTCCCAGTCCCTAATTCCACAAATTCAAATACCTTTTTAATACTGGTGTTGAAGTTCAACTGGTTAGACATCGTTAGGGTTAATATCTAAGAAAAGCTCAGTGAAATCATTTGCCAAAGGAAAATTAACAGTGATGCCTCTGTCAAATAAATCAACAGCCAAAATAACCTTGCCCCCAAATGGCAAATTTCTAGGCCTGATGCATACCCACAAGGGGGTACAGCTTTCATTCTCCAATTATAAACTGGCACCATAATTTATTTTTGCACCAGGGTAATTAATCTTCTCAATCTGAGCGTGCAACATGAGACAACCTTCTGCAGTCCAGATAATCTGCTAACACAATATTTCGTGCAAGCTTAATCACTCAAACTCCACACGAGTTTCCTTTTTGGGTGTTTTTTCCCCCAGAGCAAATATAATGTTGTTGACAGTTCAGATCATTTGGGCACTGACTGTGTCAGTTTCACAGGAAATGGTCACAATTATCACTTCAGATCTGCGTCATCCTTGGATATGATTGCAGGAAGGAGGACATGTTTGAGTACAAAATTCCCGAACTCGTCTGTAGGTAATTACAGTGTACTATTACGACAATAACACTCAATCATTTAATTACCCAGTTTATCACATCAGCAGCCTATCCAATAATGAGTAGTATAATACTTGAAGGTTTGGAGGGCGAAGTGCCAACATGTCACAGAGTCTGTAGCACCACTATGAGCATTACAATAAAGACTATGATAAATCTACCGGTAGTCTTCTTTCCAGACTGTAATTGTCAATTTGTTGGAGTCAGCAAGTCACAGAGTCTGTAGTACCACTATGAGCATTACAATGAAGACTACGATTAATGAACCGTCAGTCTTCTTTCCAGACTGTAATTGTCACTTTGTTGGAGTCTGGATTTTTAAGGAGAAATCTTCCCAAATCCACCAAACACTGGTTACCTCTTTGTTAGCTCCATTCTTTGTAACTTGTCGAAAGACACCAGGCCCAGTGTAAACTCAATTTTAAGCAAAAAGTAAAAGATTTTAGGGATGAAGTTCACATTACTGGTCTCCGTTCTGACACTGTCATTGCCACTTACCTCACAAAGATCATCTGTGCCCACGGATCTCTGATCACTCTGAAAAGAGAAAGAGAAGAAAGCTCTAATCAATGATATCAAACCACAGGTGCATGTAGTCTTGGGCTATTTCCTGCGAGGATCGCACAGTGCGAGTCCAATCGAACACCATACCTGTACTTCAAAAATATGCAAAAATGGGCGCACATCTGACACCATGTTTCAGTGCTTTTTATGCCTGACAGAAGATACTCCAAAAGTGAATTGCATCCAAACCGACAATGAGACTGAACGTGTCAATTAAAATGCATGACCTACATCTATCTACAACACATCCACTCACAAATGGTCAAAGTACCAGTGCATTAGCATGAGAAGACCATTTTTCCAATAAATACGGGTTGTAAATGTTTATTCTCAAAGATGAACCGAGGTCGGCCAGGTTCATGGAAGAACGGTAGATTCCTTTCCGGCTGCCATCAATATCAATCACACGTGTACAACCCCCTTCAAACTGACGTGACCTTTACTGGTCCACACCTCCCTCCCTCTCCTTCTCCATAATTCAAGATTCACCCCCAGCTTCCTGGTAGCATCTTGCCTCCCATGCCACCCTAATGAATAGCACGTGTTCTTGGGATCAGACGTTAATGAGTACAGACCCTTGTTGCTACATTTATCAATTATGGCAAGTCCCAAGACAGCATACATTAATTGATGGAGCATGGCTTGTCATGTCAATGATAATCTTTTCCTCAAAAAACAAGCTGATCATTGTAAGTACAGTGTCGTAGATAGTGGATTTTTCCACCCCTTGACAAGTAGTAGATTATACTGAATACCTAAGGTGCTAACTGCAACTTTACTTTCAACACAAACATGAAAGTATTAGAATTCTGACTGCTTTGCCTCAGAGATTAACGGGGACTCCCAGCATCTAGCAATGACTTTCAATTTTCTTAGTATCAGGACAAACAGGGAGTGGCAACTTTGATTTAAACATGTCTCTTCCGTAATTTCCTAGGACATTTCTGGAAGTTGTCAAGATTGATTAGAGAAGCGCACTGTACCATTTACACCTGTACATGTACCTCCCAAAAAATGTCCAAGTATCCAACCAAGCCATGCAAGGCCCAGCTCAACAACAAAGTCTCTCGGATTCGACTGGAGTTCACTCATGTACCCTCATACAGTACATGTACATAAACTTAGAAGAGGACTACTTATCAGGCTCTAACTTTACCGTACAAAATGAGACGACCCATATTACTAGCAGAAGCTTCCAAGGAACGTTCTCGGGCCAAATTCAGCATCCCCTATCTCCAAAGCGACGATGATTTCTGAAGGTTATTTCAATTAAATGCACCATCAGCTAGAGCGTTGATTTTCCCTGCACATTTTCGGCGCAGATTCCTAATACTGATGTCTGCATGTTATACATTTACTGGACCACCAGTGGAACTGGGGGGAACTTTATCGGCTTTGCAGTGTCTTCTAAACGCCCACTGGGGATGACAGGACCCTTCTGGGGCTGATGAGAGAAAGTAGATGTTACATGTACGCGGGTCAGGATGTTCCAAAGGTCACGGAAACTTTGGCGCGGAGGAGTGCAAGTCATGATGTTGAGACCCGAGTCTTGCAGATCCTTATTAGAGTGTCTGTCAGGGGGATTTTGCAGGATTGAGGAAAGGAGAACCCATGCTCTGCACATGAGGCTACTTGATGTCATTCGGAAAAAAAACACACAAAGAGTAGAGAGTGTGTGCTGAGCCTGATGGGTTCCGGCACAGAAGTGGATTTGACAATTTGCAAGGTTCCTCCTCACAAAAAATGAGAGATATGGGCAAAGGGGCATCACATGGATATCATGTTTATCTCTTGAATCACTCTCATGACCGGAAGCACGGATCTAGTGACTGTACACACTACACAAGACACTTGGAAGCATAAAGATATTGCACACTTGCGGTTTTTCCCCTGGTTTTCAGCACAGGTTCACGTTGGTTCAGATTTCCGAATGTACGAGCACAAAAGTGCTATCGTCTCAGGCGTGTAAGTGCAACAACTGTTTGAGTACAAGTGCCCTGTTACTTCTTGTGACCATACATGTGCATTTCAATTGTTCATTTGTCGTGAATTTGATCATTTTGCTGAAGAAAGCCTGCCCTGTTCAAATTCATTTTGCTTCCAAGGAACTAATGCCCTGTGGAGAACTGTACTAAACTAACACCTGCCAAGAATATCTCCGGACTATGTTTGAATGTGGAATTGACATCGGGAACCCTTTAAACAAACGAGAGGTCACTGAACTGAGAGTCAAATTAAATGAGTAATTAATCAACACTTCTCATATTAATACGGTGAAAAGGGCACGCTGTGTGGCCCGAGGGAAAGGTAGGGAGTAAATGTCACTTTGCAACAACATGAGACGCATGACGAACGCCAACTCCTTACCCCGGTACATACAAGCGCACATTCAGTAAATGTAGGTCCAAGCGGACATCGGAAGCGGTGAATGTGTGACTAAAAGGGATTTGCTGGAAGCATGCATGCGCATGGATGTGTTCATTTGCAACTTTCCCGCAGTAATTGGTTTGGTTTTCTGAGGTGCTGGATCTGGCCGATAGAAATCACAGGGGAGTCTTGTAAATGTGAAAGAACGGCGCGGTTCACTTTACAGGCAAAACTGTAACGGCACTCTTTCCTTGCGCACCTCTGGTGACCACGGTCTCTATCCTTACTCAACTGAGACACAGATCTCCCACTCGTCCAAGTACATGGTGCATGATTTCCTTTCAACTTTCTGTTTGAAGGTTTCACCCCGCTTCCAGACTTTTTGACAAATGATTTCCGTCCTCATGGCTCTCAAGTTAAATGCTGAAATCTTCCAAAGGAAAGGCCTCAGATGTTTTTAGATAAAGTTGATATACATGTAAGAAAGACTGCTCAGTGGGTGTGATGTCATTATTTTCATATCCACACCAAGTATGGGGTACAATTTGAGAAAACAATGGCAAGAAATGCAGCTGAAAGCTTCAATGCTTGCAATGTCTGATGGACCCACTTTGTTAAAACAATGTTTCCTTCAACTTTGACGACTGCCATTTCTTAAACCCAAGACTGACTTGGTTTCCATATCCAGGAGCTAAAAAGTTTACTATGCCGAGGTGAGATTGGAGGAAATAAAACACCTACAAAGTTTTGTGGATAAAAAATGCCCCAACGCAGTGTAGGGTCTGTGGCGTATATTTGTGTTTGCCTCAAGACACCCCTTACATGCCTTATATACTAATTTCTTGTCTTGTATATCACTTTTCATGCGTAAAAACATCTCATGGAAAACTTGAGACTTGTAAGGGATGCTGAAAGTTTAAAAATCCCCAAATCAGGAAAATCGTGATGAAAAATCCTGAAATCCTAAAAATCATGACAACCACACCCCTGGCTATGATGCTATCTCTCCATTAACTAAATAGCATACAAGATCGCAGAGCTACCCAACGCGACACCCTAACCGCACTGTCCACCAACCAAAACCAACAGTGGGAAACTGCCACTGGATCCTGTTGATCTCGGCAAGGAACAAAAGACGGTTTGTTCTCAGCGGTGGATATCGTCCTGGCAGGCGACTGCCAATTAAGAACAGGTGGAAGATTAATTAAGGACATGTACAGTGTTTGCGACCAGAGACAGCGATGCACATCCCAGGCTGAGCTGAAATCCTCACAAATAGATACGCCGTAGTTGATATTTCCCTTGCCGTGGCTTTGAGCCCCCTCCCCAGGAACCTGCCCATCACGGAGAAGTCACATTGGCATCTGTGTTGAAGACTGCCCTTAAGATTTTCAGGGTTAATTTTGTTTGGTGGGTAGGCTCCGTTATACTAAGGTTTGGTATTGCTTTTTTACCCCCTATCTCAAAGACACTCTGCTCTTGTGTCGCCTCCCTGCACAAGTTTCCAATTACCAACAACAAAGGGAGACGCCGGCAAGTGACGATCTCAACACAGCATCTGGCTCCCACAGGAAAACTGTGCACAGACCACGACTGCTACTGGTCCAACAATGTAAGAACATCCCATTTTTTTGTCAAAGCCCTCAGCCTATCCCCCTTGAGCAGAAGCACACCCTCACTGGGTTAAAAAGAGCCATGTTGGTCCGGAGTGTTTTGGTGGTAACGATGCAACTGCAATACTTGCATTTCATGGTCATTATTGTGAACCAGCGATGCAGTTACTACCAAAGGAACCTGTGCTGCTGAGGATACAGCGCCCTCTCTTGGTCTAGCTCGGGCCCCTTACACACAAGATACAGAGTTCCCTACTTCTTTGTTAGCACTGACAAAGTCCATTCCACTATTTTTATGTCCCCATGGTCAACCACAGGCCACCAGAGATTCAACTGAACCTGTCTGCTTTCTGTTGGATCCAAAGACGCAGCTGTCATCTGTTTCCATTGTATTGAAGACAGGAACGGTCAAACAAAAACACTTCCACAACAGTCGACCCTCAGCATCCACAAATGATTAAGGTGAAATCCCTTGGCAGATAAGAATTCATCATTTTTACAAGATCATCTGCACAAATGAGTGGTAAAGTCTCTTCGTATGAAAAGGAAAAATATGAGAGACAGAAGACCAAAAAAAATTTACTTTGTCGCCGTTTGTCAAATTAACGATATCGACATGGGACTAGTGTGGGGAAAATAGATAATTCGTTCCAACCATTGTGTCCAGGGTCCTGGGAAAACATCCAGGGTCCTAGACAGACTAGCTAACAGAGCAATTGTGCAGTATTGAATGTTATCTGCTCCAACTTGAGAAGCCAAGTCCTGTTCAACCAGACACACCCCAGACTACAAATTGAAGGGTGCAGGTCCCACATCAATTAGGCTGTCTATTTTTTCTCCTCAATTTGCGGGCACCTGTCTAGAATTTGAAATAGTTTATCCAGTTCGGAAATTGCTTGAAACTCTTAAAATTCAGGGGTTTTTTGGTACCACACCACTTTGAACATTGCGGAGGGAAAAGCTTCTTACCCTACTTAAATTTTCATAAAAACC